GCAATTGAGATGTTCAACATCTTTAATTTCAATGCAGTCGAATCACTCTGATGAGCAAATCGCATTCTAGCAACAAGATGCTTAAGAACAGCATTAAGAAAACTGCTAAATGGATAATATAAAGTATCCCGGCTTGCATGTATCGATATGATCAACAATATCCGAATGGAATACCATAGAATATGACTTCAAAAGTGTGAATAAGATGTTTATCTGAACACCATGTGAGGACTAATACCTTCCAATGCACTGTTTCGATGGGAGATTAAGACAGTAATGAAACCGCTTCAACAATGTGCAATTCACTTGATGTTCTTTACAACAATATAACTTTTTTCACCATATTCCTTTAGAACACTAGTAGGCTGTCGGGCAGTTTTGCTTACCTTACAAGAGACAGCTGATCTCCTGAAGGTATCTCAGTTGCTCGGCAGCGTTCGCTTCAATTACTGTATCTCCACTGATCAATACATTCATTAACGCGCACTAAGATGGTCACCATCTTCACGCTAGCTCTTCTCAGCTGAGCCGAGTAACATGATTGTTTCTCCACATCATCGGATTTTCCAGATTCCTTAATTCGCTTTTTTTGCTTTCAATCACGGTGAGATTTTATTCTGTCAGCTTTTCACGTGTTCCTGCATGGCATAAAAGCCTTGAAAGTTTTTCTTTGTCGAGTTTCGGAGAAACCAAAAGATTTTTAAAGCAGTTGTCCTGTGAGATCCTCTGAACACATCAATTAAAAAAAAANAAAAAAAAACAACGATTAAACATAATATTATATCAAAAGAGAATATAAATAGATATAAATGATAGGTTGATCGGTAAAGCTGTAGTGTAATGAAATGAATACCGCTGTCTAGCTACGTGAGATACCTTCAAGAAATCGGCTATCTCCCCAGTTGTATGTGATATCGCCCAAAAAGGTATTTAGTTTCTGAAACTATGGAATCTTGAGAACTGAACGGTGTGATGAAATGAAGATTTTTCTTGGCAAACCTGAGAACAACGTTAGTTTGAATATAGTGCCTCTAATCATTCCAGAACAATGCGCAAATTGATCAATGTAGATACTTTACATTAAAATTAGCGCCGCCGAGCTATGGATGATACGTTCACAAAAGCTTTCACAATTGAAAATTCATCAGTTCTTTTTCAATAACTCTTGGAGATTTTCATGAAAAAACACTTTCGGACATTTTTCGAGGTCAAATATAACCTGGATGCGAACTATTTGCTAGGTTTAAGGGAAATGAACAGGTGAAACAAGAGTTTTTACATGTTTTCAACGTTTTTTTATATTTCAGCCATTTCAACGTATTTTTTACATCGCCCAATGAACTCGCATGCTTTTAACAGTTTGCATAATATAATAAAGCAATCATGCGTTGAGACGTCAAATCAAATTAGAGATGCCGTGAATTGCTAATGGGAGGTGTGTCATGTGTTCAGCTTCATCGAGCGCTTTGAAGCTAACCTCACACTCAGCTCCATTGCAGACCTCAATGCTGCCAGCCTGATTCGATGTCAGCAACGTATTCTCTATTTGTAGTCTCATCAGGAATTGATCTTGCCGTAGGCATATTTTACGTACTATTTGCTTCAGTGGGAATTCTGTTGCACGTGGCCGAAATTTTCTCATGTGTTCAATTGTGGAATGCCTATCCAGGATTCTATTTTATTGCACACTTTTCTGCAGTCGACATTCTTTTGTTACTCCAGTACGGTATTTGGGGTGGTGCGGTGGTGCTCACACATAGTGAGATAACAACGCCTGGTCAGCGAATTTTTGTGAACATTTTTATTAATTTCACATGGTTAGTTTCTTTTTCTAATATTTAAATTCAGTTTATGTTTTGAATAATCGCTGAATATCAGTGAAACTTTGATGTTTTTCAGTGATATCAGTGAAATGTTTTTCACTGTTTGATAGTTTGGATAATTTTGAAAAAAAATGCATTCAATTTCAAATCGTTCGAGTGGGAAAATGTCCTTCGAATGGGTTATTTATTTTCGCATGTTGATAAAATGGGAATTCCTTGATTCAATATGCCTTCTCATAGTTCCTTGAAACAAAACTGGAGAGTCTTAAACGTGGACCATTCACGAAGATGCGCCCAGCAATCATTTCTCATTTGTTGGGCTCTTATAGTCAGATGACGGTGAGAATGCACATTCGAATTCGAGAGTCTTTGAAGCCAGAAGAGGGTTCCAGATTTTCGTTACGAATTTGTTCATCATTGATCAATGCTGATCATAATAAAGCCCGTTACCGAAACATTTAATTTCTTATCACTCAATATCAACTGATTATGTGGATGAACCTTAGTATCGTCTTCCAGGTGGGCCAGCTGCTATTTGTCTGTAGTAGTAACGTTCACCAGATGGATGTGCATAAAAATGCCGATAAAATTTCGATCGTTGACAAGTTTTCAATCACATTTGGCCTGTTCGGTGGCGTGGCTCATTGGTCTATTGCAGGCGTATTCAGTGACGCTCTTTCCATGGTATACCACGTTAATCTATCGTCACTTTGTTTCAATACAAGCCTTTTGGAAATAATGTTACACACCTTTCATTATATGCATTTTCCATGCGAAATCTTTCAGTAGCGAATTCGTTACTGATCTCGAGATATGCAATCGATCATTTCTTGTATCATTCTGCACTTCATTCTTTCACTCATTTCCTTGTCACGCAATGCATTGTTTCGAAACTCCATGAAGCAAAAATTGTGATTGTTTCCACTAGGTGTTTACTTGTCGTTAGCTTATGCATGAAAACATTCACAGATTAAAATCAAAAAGCTCTAATCTACTCTAAAAACGATACCAAATATGGCCATTTTAAGGTATGTGGTGTTGTATTATAACCCTTATGGATACAGTGTGACCGGTGACTGGAAAGCATACTTGAATAATGGTTCGAGAACCTATTATACGATATTTAATGGATTAACAGTATTACTGAATTTCGTCATTTATGTTTTGGTGATGATCGAACTCGTGAAAATAACACGCAAACGACGATTGATTGTCAAAGTTGGTTTCTGTTTGAGAAATTTGCAACTGAGTTCATCACAATATGAATTTTAGCACTCTTATATGTATGTACGCTTTGATCTGCTCACACCAGAATGTCTCTTCGGAGCACAGATAGTGTCGCAATTTTTTCCTTTGTCCATGCTCAATTCTTTAGTCAATTGCTCGTGATTCATGCTATGTGTAAGATGCCGAATCCTAGTTTTCTTCTGAACGTTAATGCTCATCAATAAATGCTCTCTGAACTGAACTATATAGAACTAAATGCGAATGAAAAGAGCTCATACAGTTCACTGACGATGAGGTGCTGATGCAATTGCCCTTCAATTAAGAATACATTTTGTGAGCGTATGTACTTCAGTGCAGCAAATCCTTCGAGTATTCGGAATAAATGATCGATTTACAGGCTTCATCAACGGGCGTTATTGATAACCATCGGATGTCAGCAACACTAGGCACACGGAATGCTCCCGCAAATGAGCGCGGTACAACGATCGACAACTTTCGACGATCTGCGGAATTTGGCCTTTTATTGTCGTGTTTCACCAGTTGGATTGGCTTCATCTTCCGTCAGTTAATTGCGCGAGTATTTCTCAGAAATAATTTTCTACAACAAAAAATCGCTCCTACTGAACAGCCATAAAACTGATCGTGAAATACAAAAGTTTTGGTGATGTAATCAAAACTTTTGGAAAACTTCAGCCGCAATTTCAGTTGAATTCCAATCATCTGACTGAATTCCTTTGAAAGCGATAGGTTGCAGTCGAGAGATTCAGCCTAAGTGTTGATGCGAAGTCGTGTAACACGAAATCAGTTGCG